TTGGAGAAGTGAATCCTTCATTTTACTTTTGATATAACTTAAATGGAGAGAAAAACATGCAAATTTATACAAATAATATCATTTATATAATATGTAATATATAAATGTTATTAATTGTAGAATGATTAAAACTTAAGATTTTTATGAATTATAAAATGATTATGATTAAAAATTGATAAACTGAAGAAATCGTGTAAATCGATGTCCAGGTAATGATATCACGAAGATTGAGATGGAAAATCCGGAACCAACAGTACGGCATGTTTGGAATGGTCGATGGGAGCAACAACCGGAACCGGACAAACATATCGGTGTAATGTATTTGAAGCAGGTCATGACTATCATGAAAATACCAATACCATTGACATATAGCGATTTGCAAGCTCGACAGGTTATTGCCGAACTAAAGACTTTTCGGTACTTGAGTTCGTGGTGATTTTTGATCACGTAATAGTAATAATGAGTGATTGAAGATGAGTGAAACAGTATTTCTTGTTTCATATAATTAGTGTAAATAATGAAAAAAGTAAAAATATTTTTTGTTTTTTTTTTTGTGCATTAATCTTTACTCAAATTTCCAAAAAAAAAAAACGAAAATTTTCATTTTTTTAACACATAATTATTTGCAATAATTTTGCTTAAAAATTGAATAACTCCAATGATTTAGCAATCAAAAGAGTAAGCTTTTTAAGATAAAATGAAATGCTAAATTTTTTTCATTCATTTCGAAAATTTGGTGATAAGTTTGATTGTTACAAGGATAAACAACATTTAAAAAAAAATGAAAGGTTAAAAAACATCCATAGAATTGGACTAATTCAAATTATTTTATCTTAACTTGAACAAAATTTCATTGCAGTATTTAAATTGAAACAATTATTTTATTTTTATTTTAATCTAAAAAAAAATTAGTTAAGATTATTTCACGTCTTTTACTTACTTAACGATATGTATATTATCAGTAACGCTTTATAGATGTTATAGATAGGGCCAGCTATTGTTTATATGATGTTTGATTTCGGTTGGCTTGGCCGTGGAATTGTTTTACAACATATTACGCCTGAAGAACCGCTCTTCCAACGTGCACGTTTTGTCATGTATTCAAATCTTCCAAAATTATATGCTAATTTCTTTCTACTTTGTGAAGCAAATCACGTAAGTTAATATGTTTATTTTTTTTTTTTTGAAAAGTAAAATCAACATGAAATTATTTTTTTTTTAATCAATAAATGAATGAAGTTTATTGGAAAAAAAATGAAAATTTAGAATCAGTCATACAAAACGATATTAAATAATAATTTAATGAATTGGAAAAGATATAAAAGTCAACATGTAAATAAATAATGAAAAAATTAGTTAATGGAGATAATGAACCTTGATTGTTTGTTTCTTTCTTGTTCAATTTTTAATTTTAGTTTGAACGAGATATTTACATTTGGAATCATAAATGTTATGCTAAACGACCATTGCTAACGAAAAATGATGGTCCAATTTTGAAACATCGACGTTGGTACAATCAATTTTACACTGATAACAGTCCACGTTTGGAATCGGATGGTACGCTTAGTAATGAAGTGAAATCAATTTTTGATTGGTGATTTGAAATTCTTAACAATGATATATTTTTTTTTTCAAATGAAATTGATTGTTATTATATTTTAAAATTCAATTTTTTACTGCATTTAACGCAAGAAGACCGATTTGCTTTGCTATTTATCCGTTCAGAATGAATATTGTAAATGGAAATATTGCAATATGTCAAAAATGTTACACATAAATTATATATCGTGTAGAAAAAAAAATTCAATAATTTTAATAAAATGAATTTCATATTAATTTTTTTTACAGTTTGTTTCATTTTTTTTTTTTGCTAATTTAACATGCTCAACATTTATGCTAATTTTTTTGCTTTTTGTTGAAATTAAAAAATTCTTAATGCATTCGCAATTTAAAAATTGCAATATTTCATAGCATTTTTTT